TTTTTTGTAGAAAAGCATTCTTCCCTTCCTTGAAAGATATACCCAATATCCTGCTAATTTCCCATGTAGCAATAGCTTCCTCCAACAGCAACGGAAAAGCTGATGAGGATAGACACTAGCATGATCTAAAGCATCCCTACTGAGGGATCTTTTAATTCTCCTGTTAAATTTCCTCCCCCTTGAACCATCACTATCCCCTTCTGTAGGAACAACATCCTCTGGAGTTTGAGAATGATATCCTCTTGAAATTAAAACCCTACCCAACTTATTACTGCTCTCCCCTCATGATACATCCAACCATATATTCATTTCCCTGGACCTACTATAAACTCTCTTGTGACTTTTAATTAACTTTCTTCCAACCGGGGCGCTCTTCATGGATAGAGAGCTTGCAAAACGAGTTTGCGAACCAGCTCTTGTACTTATCAACTTTAAACCTTCAGCATACCCCACTTCATCATCAATCCCTGCTGGATCCTTAATGCCAACCTCTGTTGACAAAAAACATTGACTTCCCCTAGCTTTTTCTACATCCCCTAATCTGCTTGAAGAATTGGGATTCTTTTTTTGATTTGCATAACCGAGCCAAATAAGATTTACTGTTGGACCAGCAGGAATTAATCTCTTTACGGGAGATAAGGGTTCACTGCTCCTATCTGATTGGGCCTGAGAGCTTCCTTTTTTATCCTCCTTATTTCTAATGCCTAGCCCAGCATAATCTCCCTTTTTACTACTCTCCAAGCTAAGAAAACCTGACACTCTTTCATTAATGCATTTCCCTTCCAAGCTTCTTTTTGAAAACATAAATTCTTTACCTGCTACACCAACCCCGGCAGAAAATCCTGATCAATCCATATGTCAACTTTTTGACGAGTTTCCTCAACAAGCCGAACTGGACCTGACATGTCAGAAGATTGTGGGCTCTCATCTTCCTCCTCTGACGACTCTATGACTATGACTCTTTCATCGGAAAATTTCTCCGGCGTGTTGCCAAGAAAGAAATTTGAAACCAGTGAAGTAGATCCCAACTTAGTAGTCACCTTGAATGATCTTCCATAAGAGCCTAAAGTTAAGGCGTTTTTCTACAGCTCTTTCTTTGATCTCTCTTTTTGTCTTATGATGGAAAGTAAGGTGACTAGTTCTGCTGGGAAAATTTGTTTTACGGTGATCATTTTCAACATTCCAGAGCGTCTTCATCATAAAGGGCTTTGGCTGTTATTCGATAAACATGGAGAGGTGGTCGATTCTTTCATCCCTAACAAAAGAAGCAAGGGAGGAAGTAGGTTTGGCTTTGTTCGTTTTACCAGATTGGAGGACGCAAGGAAGGCTATCAAATGTGTTGACAGATCTAGGATTCACGATAATGAAGTTAGAGTTTTTTTGGCCAGATTTCAACCCCGGGAAGCTTTTTGGAGAAAGAAGTTTTCGGGTTTAAAACCAACCGAGATCAAGAGTAAAAGGGAGGATGTTGGGCATTTAGAGGCTCCCATTGTGGGTTCTGTTGACGAGGACAAGCTGCTATCTTGCAGAGGCAGCTTGGTAGAGTGGTGCAGAAATTTTTTTAATATGAATGAGTTGGCTGCCATAATGCATAAGGAAGGCATTTTAGGCCCGAAAATCATGAGGCTAAGCAGGTTAGCAGTTCTAATCATTTTTGAAGATGATGAGAGTAGGGATTTCACGCTGAATAATCAGATGGGGCATTGAATAAATGTTTTGGCAAAGAAGAAGTGTGGTCGGAAAACTTTCATTGCAGCAGCCGTCGGGCGTGGCTTTCGTGCAAAGGGATCCCACCGTTTTTGTGGAATCCCTCCACCTTCAGAAGCATTGCAGACAAATGGGGAGAACTTATCTCCATTGACGAAGGATATGTGAATCCAGGTTCTTTTGAAAGGGCTTTGTTTCAAATTATTACAAACCGTCAAACACGGGTGGAAGAATCCGTTGTTTTGAAAGTCGGGGACTTGTTATTTACAGTTTGTATTTCTGAGTTTGAGCTTTGTTTCAGTCCCGATTCAGTATGGGCAGACTCGTTCTTGATGGATGAGGTAGTTGCCTCCCCGTTATCTTTGGTGGGGGAGCTCGTCGGTGTCTCGCCAGTTAATTCTCCCGTGGTGGAGGTATGTCTTGAGGAGCTGGCAGAAACGAGGACTCTTCGGTGGAGAAGATTTCTGAGCGTTGTTCTGTGGATGAAGAAAGTCTATTATGTTGTATGGGGGAAAGAGTTAGTGGCTGCTTTTGTCGGGTGGGGAAGTAGTGGAAAGGAACATAGGGGAGGATTTAATTATGGGCTTAAGGAATTATGCTGTTGGTTTGGGGATTATTCCATCGGAATTCGAGGATGCGGTGGAGCACGAGAATGTGCTGGATCAAGGGGCTAGAGAGTCAGTTTTTGAAAGCAGCGAAAGTTGTTGTCTACACGTGATAGAGAGAGAATATTGGATTTTTTTGATTCATCCAACTTAGATGGTCGGTTAAAGGCAAAGGTAATGAAGAACGTGATTAACATTATCAAGAGGCGTGCTATTAGTAGTTCCAAGGGTGTGGAGGCCCACCAGGATGGGGATGCCCAACAGGTTGGGGCGGTGGTTGACAGGCTGGATGGCAGAGATATATCGGGGTTTGTAGAGAAAGTTTTGGGTCCCCAATTAATGGCCTGATACAGCCAAATCAAGCAGCAATAGAAGGTTTAAGGGAGATTTGTCTGTTCTGGGAGCCAGATTATGATTCCATTTTTCCAGCTTTGGAGCCAGAGTCTATAGTTTGGTTTTCTGCCCTCTTTGTGTGGATGGAAGCTACTGGATGTTTGTGTTTTTTTTTTTGGATATTATGGTTTGAGCCAGCTGTCATTTTTTTGTCTCTTTTTTAGGAGTTCTGTTTTCTGGTGCTCTCCAAGTCAAGAGTTAGGCTTTTAGTTGGGTTAGTCCTTTAGAGGCTGTTGTGGTTGATATTAGGTTGAGCTACTGTTGTTGTTATGGGGGTGTTTTTTGGTGTTTTGTTTTATGTACGGGGTCGATATCTGGATGTATTTTGGTGTTCTTATGTTCAATGAAATCCTAAGGCACTCTTTTCCTCCTTCCGCTGATTAAGGAGCTTCTCTTTAAGTCTCTCTAATCAAGAAGGAGGTTTTTAATGAGGCCTTCAATTCCTATCAAAAAAAAAAAGAGCCTAAAGTTAACACTTCTGGGACGTCAAACGGACTTGCCACCCTTGGCAAAATTTTCACCGTCGTGAGATCTTCCCTGGTTTTAGTCGATTCCTGGATGCCCTCCAATGATCCCCACCTTCCTGCTAACTTCTCTAGAAAATTCTCTTGCCAACATAACATAGTAAAACCGTATAACTCAACCAGACAGTAAGCCATTGGCACTCCACCTTCATTCAACAGAGGCGCCAGACGGTCAAACCAGAACCATAACTCCTCACTTTTATTCGACCATGCATCCTTCATCATTTCCTCGGATTTGAAAGTAACAACACAAGAATTCCATACATACCCCTAGCTCGCAATTTGAACTTCAAAACCTTCATTTACCAAGGCTCTTTGAACCAATTCCAAGTCGAAAGTATGTTTAACAATACCCGTGAGAGATCTTTTCACCCAGCTTGAACTTTCAGTAGGAATATGCATCTCCCAAATATTCTTCTTCCCTCTCCCCCTGTATAAACTCTCATATCTGATTCCCTTTTGCTCCGACTCACTCTTTTGCGAACTGCTCGACAACAAGACATCTTTATATGATCTATCATCTCTTGTACTTCTCGGAATCTCAGCCTTCTCACATGGTTTAGATTTATCTTCTGTGACCTTTTTCTGAGCATCAACTAGTGAACGAGATGTACCAACAGCCCTTGGTCGATCTTTTTGGTATTTTGCAACTCCAACAAAAACTTTCCTCCCATCAACCCACAACCCGTTTATGTTTTCGACTGCCTTCCTCATTCTTGTTTCGTTACCAAACTTAACAAAGGCAAACGTGGAAGATTTATACTTTGGTTTGTTCATCACATTTGGTATGAAGACTCTCACCACCTGACCCTGGTCGAGAAATAGATCCCTTAACTCTCTTCTAGAGACTCTCCTACTTAGGTTGTCAACAAAAACAGTCCAACTCACGCCGGAGGAAGACTGACCTTTTTCTCTTTCTCTCTTCTTTTTTGACTCTCTCACTCATCTTTTTTTTTCAAAGACAGTTGGACTGTTTTTGATGGAAAATTATATAAGTTGTTGGACAACTTAAATATATGTTTCTGAAAACCTCCTATGTGTAAGGGCAGCAAATGCATCTCTCAGCATGGTTTCCCCTCATTTGAAATTTGTATGCAATCTACTTTTTATATCCTACAGCCCCCCAAACACTGCACACATCTTCTAACCAATTCTTAATAACAAAACCCTCCAATTTCAATTAAACTATGCTATTTTACAAGACGTAAAATTTCAGTAACATGTTTCCTTGCTGACCACCTTTTACCTATAAACAAAGTAATAAATTTAGATCAAACACTATTAGACCACAAGAAAACCTACTCTCAGCACTCGTAAATGACCATGCTTGCCATTCCTGGTCCAAAATGCTTATTCCTTTATGTTAGTAACTATTCTTCTTAAAGCTCAAATACTTCCGCAACTCTTCTGACATAAAATAAAAGAAAAATACAGCTAAACTATCTAACCCAAATTAATATTGGGCATGACTAAACTGCAAAATACATATTTAGTCTGTTGTACGGAAATTTCAATTCAACATTTACATTTACTAAATTGAATAAACCCGCCACAGTTCCACCAGAATGCAGAAAATGGATCCTAGAGAACTACATCACTGATGATATATTCACAGTATCATCTAGTAGATCAATAGATACATTCAAAGGTTTGGATCAGCTATAGCCTTTTAAGATTCAACATTGATAGAAAGCCTTGGCCCTTGGAGTAATTGAAAATGAAACTGAACCAAATTCAAATTCAATTAAGAAAAGGAAAGTAGAGCACTTACTATCCCATTGATATCATTAGGAACATTGGCAACATTCTCGAACTTCCCAATCGCATTTGCCACCGATGCAAATAATGGCTCCGTAACCATCGCCATGGCATTCTTATTCTCATCCAAAGCCTGCACCACGTGGACCACCCCCGGATGCCGTAGCCTCACAAGCCTTGCCGCATCAGCACGTATCAGATCGAAGAATGAATCCTCGACGATCTTGGAAAGCCCCGCACGCGTTCGCGCCTCCGCCAGCACCTTCTTGTCAAGAACCCAGACGCAAACGGTGGGATACTGGTGGGAACGCGCAGCATCACGTGCCTTGGCGGAGTACAACTTCCAGGCAAGGCCTGGGCCGGCAGAACCAATCTGCTGAAGGAGCTCGTAGTCAAGGAGAGCCTTGGGTCCGGAAACCTCCTGGACGGTAGTCTGAACGGTTTTCTCGATGACCGCAGCGGTTTTCGCGAAGGCTTGGGTTAGGATTTTCATGTTGATCGACATTGTGTTTGATTGTGTTAGTTACACTGAATGAATATTTTTTTGAATTTTTTTTAAGTAAAATTATCATCTTCAAAAGTCTTGTCATATGCGATAAATATATTCAAATTTATCATAAGTAAAATAGATCAGTAATCGACCATTAATAATATGATGAGTAAGATTTTGAACAATTAAATCAATGACATATGCAGATAGATTATTTCAATTTTTAACGCATCAGATAGAAAAGAAGAAGTTTAAAGAACACTTAAAATGAACGAGTGAAAAAAATCTTTTAATTATAATCTCATTTTACATAAATATAAGAATTAGATATCTAAAAAAAATAAACAACCATACAATGTTTAAGAATCATAGATGGAGACGAAAACTAAAAGAATAAACCACCACCACTATCTAGAGATGGAACCGTTTTTTTTTTTTTTTTTGTGGCCTTTTATTTCTTTGGCTTAGAGACACAATTTTGTTGTGCTTACCAAATAAATTTAGCGAAATATATTTCAAAATCCATACATCTTTTTGTGAATTTGCTGAAATATCAATTTTAATCAATTCAGTCATTATTAATCAATATTAAATTTAGGAAAAACTGCTTCACATATCATCAAATTTTGAACATTTATTCATTTATAATATTAATTTTAATATGAATGTTTGGTTAAGGAAAAGTACTTACGTTTATGTTTTATCAACTTTTAGTTACTGATTTCAAAAAGCATAAGATATAATCACTTTCGTTTTTATTTAATTTAGACGTGGTCACTTTCATTTTATTTAATTAAGATGTAATCACCTTGAGTTAACTGTCGTTAGCAACAGTTAAATATTTTGATATAATCACACATTTGACCTCTGTTATTTACATATTATCTCAATTTAGTCATACTTTTAATAAATTATAATAAATTTAATCATCCAATAGAATGATGTCACATGTCATGCCACGTAGGGGTGAGCGTTCGATCGAGTTCGAGTCAAATTAAGTCAAAAAGTTTCGAGTTATTCGAGTTGACGAGTCATATTTTACAACTCTGAGTTGACTTAGAATTTTTTCGAGTCGAGTCGAGTCAAATTTTTAAGTTTCTATTTAAATTTAATTATAAATATTTATGATATTATGATATTATTTGATTCCAATTTAAATGATCTTTTATAACCATATACAATACATGTGTATTTCTTCATATTTTTTCATATGAGATATACATTTATGAAACAAAGTCAAGAGACTCAACCCAACTTGAAAATCAATCTACTAATTACTAAAATTTTCAAGTTATTCCAGTTGTATTTTACAATTCGGTTTGAACTTGACTTTTTTTTAGTCGAGTCGGTTTATGAAAGTTAATCCTCCAATTGAAAGGTGACATGTGGCATTAGGGTGAGCGAAAAATGACTCGATTCGAAGAACCAATTTTTTACTCGACTCTTGAATTATTAAAATAAGAGTAATTCTATAGTTTAATAATTAAATTAAAAAATTTAAACTTTAGTGACTAAAATAAGAGTAAGAAGATAGTTGAGTGATGAATATTATAATTTACCTAAAAATAAAAAAACATATTTTTAAAGTGCCACTTGTCATTGTCATAGGATTTCACATCAATTTCCGTGACGGAAGTGAGTGAATTCGTTAACGACAAAAAAATCATGTATTAAATTGAAAATTTTTAAATATTATGTATGAAACTAAGAATTTAATATAATTTATGTATGAATGGGGGTATTTAACCCATTTTAAAATTGATATCGAGGAAACTAAAAAAATACAACATAAGACGAGTACGACACCTTATCATAAGGATAAAATAAGGCGTTATCGGTTTTGTTATTGTTTAAATAATAAAACCGATAAAAAAATTACCTAAAATATTATTATTATTACCTAAAACATCAATTTTTAACAATTCTGGTAAAAATGTTCAACAATAATAAAATCAATAGCGCCTAATAATATTTTCGATCATTTTTATCAAATTCGATAAAACGTTCAATAATAATAAAATCGACAACGTCTAATAATATTTTCGATAATTTTTATCAATTTTATTATTTAAACAATAATAAAACTAAAAATATGTTTTTAATTATATATTAAAACTGTCGCCCGATAGCATTTTGTAGGGAGTGGTGATCACATTTCATCCACAGTTAAGTTGTAGTTGGAGTTGTGTTGAATTCTCCGCCCGTTCTTTCTTTGTTTCTTTCGATGCTATCGAGGAAATTGTTTTAAATCTTTAATCTCAGCTAATACTAATAACCAGAAACTCCATTCATATCTCCCTCATTTCCTTCCTCCTTTTCAGCAATGGCTAACGCCCTACAAACTTCTTTCCTTCCATCCACTTCCTCCCTTCGCCGGACCCCCATTTTAGGATCTAAAGGGAAGTCCCAAGCCCTTCAAGTTAAGGCCAAGATACGAGAGATTTTCATGCCGGCACTCAGCTCCACAATGACGGAAGGTAAGATCGTGTCCTGGATGAAGTCCGAAGGAGACAAGTTATCGAAAGGGGACAGTGTTGTTGTCGTGGAATCCGACAAGGCTGACATGGACGTCGAGAGTTTCCACGAAGGATTCCTCGCCGCCATCATGGTGGAGGAAGGCGGCGTCGCTCCCGTCGGTTCTGCCATCGCCCTCCTCGCTGAGACCGAAGACGAGATCGCTGAAGCCAAAGCCAAATCACAGTCTTCTTCTAGTAGCGGTCATAAGGCAGTAGAAGAACAGCCAAAGCAAATTGAAGTGGCAGCTCCGGATGTTCCTGCAGCCGCTCCTGTTGCTGCTCCTCCCGCGGTTTCGGCCTCGAAGTATGTGGCTTTGGGGTCTGCTGTGCATCCGGCTTCGGAAGGAGGGAAGAGGATAGTGGCCTCGCCATATGCCAAGAAATTGGCGAAGGAGTTGAAGGTGGATTTGGGGACAGTAGTGGGGACTGGACCCAATGGGAGGATTGTGGCTAAGGACGTGGAGGCAGCGGCCTCAGTGGGTACAACGGATGCGGCAGAAGGTACAGTTGCTGCCTCTCCGGCGAAGCCGGCTCCAGTGGCTCCTGGGATTGAATTGGGAAAAGTGGTTCCTTTTACTACAATGCAGGGTGCTGTGAGTAGGAACATGGTTGAGAGTTTGTCAGTGCCTACTTTCAGAGTTGGGTACACCATCACAACAAATGCACTTGATGCCTTGTACAAAAAGGTAAAGCTGGTTTGGTTTTGTTAAGGTGTTTTACAATGATATAATTTCTTTCTTATGCTTTTTGAGTCTTTATAAATCGATGATTCCATGGATAGTATGCTGAAGACTTAAGACATTGCATTTAGTTCTAAATGGTAAATTCTTGACGATGCAATATGGAAGTAGATGGCATTTTTAGAGCTTAAATTAAATATATTTTCTGGCATTTTTAGGAAGCTTGATGCTTCTTATTGATAAACTAGCATCTATTTTAAAGATGGGTTAACCTATGATCACAATTGCAAATTTTAAGTGGTTTCCCTGGCATCTTTTGTTACAATTGGTTGATGGGAAAATATATTCCTTACACAAGAAAACTTACTTGAATAAGACGGACATTTCCTAGTTGTCTTTAGAATTTTTCTGTTACATTTCGCTGAAGAAGATATTGATATTCTAAAATCATCCTTACACAGTAGATGGATGGTACTGAGTATTGACTATATTGTGCTTGCGGAGTTTATTTTCTTTCGTTTATTTTTGAATATTGGTTGACATAAGTTGTATTTCTTTTGTTTAGATCAAGTCCAAGGGCGTAACGATGACAGCATTGCTTGCGAAGGCAACCGCACTTGCATTGGCTCAACATCCTGTAGTTAATTCCAGTTGTAGGGATGGTAACAGCTTTACTTATAACAGTAGCATCAATATTGCTGTTGCTGTAGCTATAGATGGAGGGTTGATTACACCAGTTCTACAAGATGCTGATAAGGTTCTTTTTAATCTACTTTTGGCTGCCGACTTGATATAGCCGTAACAATGTTCTAAGGGCTTTCTTTCATTGCATTTTAGGTTGACATTTATACATTGTCAAGAAAGTGGAAAGAGTTGGTTGATAAGGCACGGGCCAAGCAGCTGCAACATCATGAATATAGTACAGGTATGTTATTTTGTGTCAGTGCTCTCCTTGCTAATTGAGGGAGGAAAGCTTGATGATGCACATGCTAAACTTCATGGACTCGTGCTAATTTTTTTTTTTTTTGGTGCCAGACTGTTCGTCTACCTCATATGTTGAATTGAAATGCTTATAAATGTTCAAGGAAAATAATTTTATCTGGTTATTGCCTTGGTGGAAACATTAAATAAGAAGTTTGAAAAATAAGGAACAACGTTGGTGGAGAATCATAAATTCTTACTTGAATGATTATGCTTGTAAAGATCATGAGGAGATTGCAAAAAACTTACTTGAATGATCATACAATTTCCCGGGCATGTAACTGATAATCTTTTGAAATTTCTTTGAATTTTAAACATCAGTTGTGGACTTAAAAATATGAAACCATAACATCTCTCTTAATGTTCAAGCTAATGAGTTAGTTGGTAGACTTCCTATATATCTCTTGGCGATTTCCATTTCATTGCTTCCTTAGAAATAACTAGCACATTAATTTACAAATCCAGACATTTAAGTTTGATTATTTGTTGCAATGTAATTGACTGATCTAGTCATCAAAGTAATTCCTTGTTTCGTTTGTGTCTGATGTTAGACATATTTTTCCTACACAATTGGATTAACTTGAGAAATAAATGAGCCGGAATTTCTCATGCGAAAGTATTGGATGTGTTTACGCGACACAGGAAAGAGTATATGTAGTTCCATGGGGTCAATTGCTCTGGTTATATCAGGCAGCTGTATCTTAATTTTTTAGATTTAGTTACTATAGACACAAGTTTGGGATTTCTGTTTCATTTTACATGCCTTATTTTTATCAGTTCTTACGGGAGATTGAGCATACAAATTCTTTCTGACTTGATCTCCCTCCTAGTAGCCACATATAAACTTTCCTTAGAACTCTTGGAATTTTGACTGTGCTTAATGGGAGAAAAGAAAAGAGAAGCTCTTGTGTTGTAACTTCCTTCGCCCTTTGATTTACTGATGCACATTTGATTTATTTGTTTGTTGCTCTTTATATTTTGTTTGGTTGCATCGCTTAGTTGCATGCTTGTTTTGAATTAACACTATTGGTTAAGACTTGGATCCAACCAAATATAAATACCAAATATGATCCTAAATTCTTGAAACTACTACTGAATCCATCAAAATATGTAAAACAATCAAACTAGTACGCTTGAACCATCTAGGAGTTTGATCTGTATGCATAACTCTGATTTTTGCCCTATCATCCTAGTTTCTTATAAAAGCATCATTAACATATAGTTTTTGCCATAGTTACCTTTCAACATAGCTGAGGCCTATCTTTTTTTGCTGATATTTGCTCCTTTTGCAGGTACTTTCACCCTGTCTAACCTTGGGATGTTTGGTGTGGATCGGTTTGATGCCATTCTGCCACCTGGAACCGTAAGTTTGTTTTTTAATTATTAATATTTTCTCCTTTGTAGTATGTTCTGCCCTAGTCCCAGAGAATATGGTCTGCTGGATATATTGTATTCCCCTTGCAAATATGTGAATATTTAATCATGTGGATGTGCAGGGAGCAATTATGGCAGTTGGTGCTTCTCAGCCTACTGTCGTAGCTTGCAAGGATGGCCGTATTGGCATGGAGAACCAGATGCAGGTAATGAAATTTTTTTGTGTATAACGTTGAGCTGCCTTGATGTATCTATTCCTAACAAAATTAGAGAACTTATCCTTGTCCCGGTCTCTTATAAAACAATTATGTTTGAATAGTAGCCAGCACTTCTGAACTTTAAAACTTTGCAGGTAAATGTTACGGCAGATCATCGAGTTATCTACGGTGCTGATCTGGCTGCATTCTTGCAAACCCTGGCTAAGATTGTTGAGGATCCTAAAGATCTTACCTTCTAGTCAGATGTTCCTTCCGCACAGTGATGTCGTTACCGCCATATTTGCTCCCGAGGTTCATGCTCTTCAAAACACTCATACTATGTTGAAACACACTTGAGATACATAATGTAGGTGTTCCAGTTGAGAATTTACCCATGCCAATGGTTATTTAACTTTACCGGGTTCCATTTCTTTTAGTTACATTATCTCGTTTATGTTAATTTGACCGTTGCATCAATAAAGTTTAAGTTTGTTTTCTGGTTTTATCACTTCTTTAATATATATCCGTAACTCACACTCGAGTCTTACTATCGTAATTTTTCTAAGGGATTGCTGCGTGTTTAGAGTATGTATAATTCCTTGTATTCTAAGCAACGTGTATAATTCCTTGTATTCTAAGCAACGTGTATAATTCCTTGTATTCTAAGAAACGTGTATAATTCCTTGTATTCTAAGCAACGTGTATAATTCCTTGTATTCTAAGCAATGCAACGGTAGGTTAATCTTTTGGCATTTTAATTTACCATTACAGGTGGAAAAGCCATGTTAAATTCCCAAAATTTTTAATAACCAATGCCAACAACAGACTTAACCTCTCTGTTGTTCGTTCACCATTTTATTGTTTTTTCCGAATGAAATTTTTTACAGACGGAAATTAAATTCTCAAAAATAAAGAAAATTAAGAATAACATCATATATCAAATAATGGTTAGATGAAGAAAATTAAAAATTGGTGCGTTTTTATAATGCTAATTTTTTATCATTATAGATGGAAAAGAGAATTTATTTTAATTAATCTATGTAAGTATAAGACTGTATCTATTCAAATATAGCTCTCAATCATTTGAGATTGAATTCTTATGCCTTGACATTTATGGTACTTGAATCCGAAACCTCAAAGAATAACAATAATTCTTTTACCAATGAGATTACTTGAATCGTGCTAAAAGAAAGAAATTAAATTCTTCAAAATGAAAGAAATGAAGAACAATGTAATGATTGGATGATATTTTTTTACGAATGTTAATTATTCGATCATAAAGCATAATAGAATAAAATATTAATAATTGATTTTAAATAATTAAATAAGTAAAAATATAAGTTAAATATTTATTTTTAAATTAAGCTTTACTATACCATGAATACACAAATTAGTGTCGCTATTCGTTTTAAAATTCCTCCACAGTCACCTATCCACCTCCGAATTATGTGCAGAGTTATAGATTCTCGTCACGTTGGCAGGCAGAAGAGTGAAAATAGTTGTTAATTTGTTGATGTCATCGGACCTTACTCAATTTGAATAACTTAGATACAAAAAGTAACCAGTAGCCACTTTGTATGTTCTTTTATATAATTAATATTTTAATAATATAATAATTTCTACAAGTGATTTACTTAAATTTTCACATAAATTTAACATTTATATGATATATATTAGGAATGTTCACAGTCGGTTAATTGTACTATTTATTTTAAACAGTTAATCGTTATAACAATTATTAAATTTTATTAACTACAACCTAACTATTAAGAAATGCGGTTAATCATTATTAACAGTTTGGTTATAGGATAACATATGGTTAACCTATTACAATTTTTTTCAAACATAACACAACTTAAAGTTTTCAAATTTTCATAAAATTTACGATGATGGAAGCATATAAAAATCTTTTTTTTTATTTATAAATGCATTTTATTTTATAAATATATATATTATGAGGTATATTTATTTCTTTACAGTTTAAAATCTTGTGTGTATATTTATATTTTGTAATTTAAAATTATGTATTTCTTTCATCTATGTTTGATTTAATGTGGTCCTATTTAAGATAAGCATGATAACTAGAAAATAGGAGAAATCATTTTGATTTTATTTTTAATTCTATTCTTTAGAAAGTATAATTAATTAATTATAATAAATGGTTAACCATTTATTAAAATTCATTAACCGTAACTTTAACCGTTAATTGATATTTTTAATGGTTCAGTTAACCGAAACCGTTTAATCTTATCGGTTTGGTTAATTAACCTATAAGATATAATGGTTACATCGGTTAATATTTACAGTTAATGATAACGGATTAATTTAAACACCCCTAATAAATATATATTTTGTTTATCAAAATTTTCCACACAAAATCTAAATATGAAATATCACATATCATTAAAACATATAAATATCTACGTGTATATAGTAAGATTTGATGTTAATTGATTGGTTCTGAATCAGACCTTGCAATTCAATTCAATGAGAAGAAACATATACAGATTTCGTTGGTTGAAGGAAGTGGTTCTGCTTTGCTGCGGCCATTTCTAATTCAATCCATCTTTGTCGCCGCTTAATTTGTTCCCGGCGAGCTTCAGATTGCCGGTGATCGATTTCTCGGAGGCACTTTTCGTATAAATTTGGATCCATTTCTTCTAACATGCTCTTCACATTCTCTGTTAATTGCATTACACTTTTGCTCCAATGCACCTTTAGGTTGCTCTCCATGCTTTCTACCACCACCGGAAACACTTCTTCCATGCCCGCCGATGCCATCTTCACGAACTGCTCGTTGTTCCACACATACAGTGCTCGCTCCGCTACCTGATATCAGTGATTTTCAATGTGACACACGACACGAACAGATGTCATCGAACAGTAATATGAAACAATTGGTGATCATAGGCCTAAGGGCTCACATGTGAGTTGCAGCTATTCAAACATCTTGTAATTCGAGAGCATAAGGGTACTGCCAACGTTCGGTACTGATCGGGATCAATATTCTCGACCAGCTCTTCCAATTCTCCGATGGGAAAACTTCTTTGTGACAATCGGTGATAGGACAGTACCTTAGAATTCTCCGAACAACGATTCCTCCAAGTGCGGACACTTTATGCACGAACTGCGTGACGCAATAGGCCAGCTCCCTATGGTAAACTTGCAGGCCCTTGGCCTTGTGCAACGGAAGAAGCAATCTCATCAAGAAAAGCTTGTGTTCCTCTTTCAACGGAACCCCGAAGCCATTGATGATGCTTCCCCATATCTCTAGCAGCTCGCCGATCCCGCAATGCCTTTTGGTTTCGAAAAACGTAATGCAAAAACACATCTTTCATAGCTTTTCTCATGAACGATCTATGGGAAGTGAATATTGAATATATCCGATGGAAAACATTCTTCAACCCTTCTCTTTCTCGAGGATCTTCGGATTGAAACAGTGATCGATGTAATCCTTGAGTTTTTTGGGGTCTACATTAACAAGCCTAAGAAGAATATCATAAACAAGCTACAGGTGAGGCTATAGAGGTGTGGAAGTCAAAAGCTCGTTGTCATCAGGCAAAGCAGAGATAACAGAAGTACTATTCGAAGGCGGAGGAAGTGGCCTGTGTTGGGGAAACTGGGTTATTTCCCACACGAACGTAATTTCAAAATTGACCTAAAATGTCAAGATCAAAACCACCAAAGGTTGCACATCGGATAAACTTGTCAAACTATTGAATATTGAAACAAAATGAAAAAAACCGAATAAAAAACAATAAATGAGAGAACACACCAAATTTACGAGGTTCAAAGAGAATATCGTCTACTCCTCGGGTATCACACAGGATGATAGCATCACTATCAACAAAATATTACAACAAATTGAATTCTTTAGAATTCCCAAAGTGAGAGAATGATGAAAACAAATGGAAGAGAGAACTTGTTTTAGGATGATTTCTAATGGAAATACTTAGGCCTATTTATAGTTGAGTTTTAAGGACTAAACTTATAAATAACCTAATATTTTAGGGATCAAATATGGAATTCCCATGTTCAAAGTTTGACCATCAACCAAGATGAAATTTTTAATAAGTTGGCCACCAACCAAGATGAAATTTCTAACTTGCAAACTTAATTTCAAGCCAAATCTAACAAATCTCCACCTTAGCTTGAAATTACCAAGCCTACTCAACTTCTTCAACTCTCCAAATTTGTAGTGTCTCTATTTGCGCTCACAAGCGCCACACACCCGAAGCTATTCATGCTTTCAGGATGTTAATCAAGTTCAAACAATGATTGAACTTGATTACTGTTACCACCTTGGTCATCATATCTGCATGATTTTCTGATGTCGCGATTTTCTGAAGTAGAATATTTCATTCTTCAAAGATCTCCCGCACAAAGTGATACCTCACGTCGATAGGCTTAGTCCTTGAATGGTAGACTTGATTTTTCGCTAAGTGAATAGCGCTCTGATTATCACAATAGAGACTAATGTGACTTTGAACAACTCCCAAGTCTTCCATCAACCCGTTAAGCCAAATTGCTTCCTTTACAGCCTCTGAAACTGCCATGTATTCTGCCTCTATAGTAGACAATGCCACCGTAGATTGCAATGTAGACTTCCAACTTAGTGGGGCTTTAGCAAGAGTAAACAAATACCCAGTAGTTGATCGACGCTTATCCAAATCACCAACATAATCAGAATCACATATCCAACCACACACTGACCAAGTGTTTCATCCTGTTCAAAAACTAAACCAACATCCACGGTTTGTTGGAGATACCGTAGAATCCATTTCACACCTTGCCAATGTCCTTCTACAGGATCATGTATGTACATGCTCACAACTCCAACTGCTTGTGAAATGTCAGGACGCGTACACACCATTGCATACATCAAGCTCCCAACTGCATTAGCATATGGAACTTTTGCCATATACTCTCGTTCTTCGATAGTTTTAGGAGATAATTGAGAACTAAGTTTCAAATGAGAAGCCAGTGGGATACTTACATGTTTGGTATTTTCATTCATGCCAAAACATTGTAATACCTTTCTCAGATACTGCTTCTGTGTTAAACAAAGATTCTCTCTCTGTATATCTCTGTTTATCTCTATACCAAGAATCTTCTTGGCCTCACCTAGATCTTTCATCTCAAACTCTTGATCAACTGAGCCTTTAACTTGTATATCTCCTTTTGACTCTTCGAAGCGATCAACATATCGCCAACGTACAAGAGAAGATAAATGAAAGATCCATCTTTGAGCTTTTGCAAATACACACAATGATCATATTTTCTTCTAGTGTACTTTTGCCTCCACATAAAGCTATCAAATCGCTTGTACCACTGCCTCGGAGATTGCTTCAATCCATATAGTGATTTGTTTAGCTTACAAACCCATTTCTCACAACCACCATCTTTG